GTATTGCGTTACTCCATAAAAAAGTAACTAATTACGTTACTTAGTTACTTTTTATGGAAAGTAATGCGTTACGTTACTTTTGTGTTACTTTTTAAATCTGTGCTGGGCTTACGTATTTGTTTTTAATATAAAAAAGGTCTTCTTTTACAAATGTAAAAACCCTTTCACAACAAAAGTGAAATGAATGAGCCTCAGGCTGAAGGAAACGTACATTCATGTCTGTACAGTAGAGGGCGCAGCTCAAACAAATTGCATGAAGTATATGACGCAGGAGAAGAAAGTTCAACACTATTCAGCAATAACAAAAATGAAACACAAATGTGTCATTTTTGCTTTAGTATGGTTGAATTGGATCATCGAAGGTCAGTAGCAAAGACATAGGTTAATAAAATGGGATTAAATACATAAATGATAATTGTCTTATTTAACATTTAATTATTGCAGGTTTGTATAATATTCTGAGTTTGCATTTGACTGTTTTTATTCATTTTGAGGAATACTGAATCTGTTTTTGTTCATATTTAGTCTAGAACTACAGTAAGCATCACATTCACACAGCGCACACAACGCCTCTGCACTTACTCACGATTTCTCTCAACATGGCAACACAAGAGCTGTCAGTCAATACATGGGGAAAAAAGTAACTGGAGTTACTTATTTGAAAAAGTAACTCAGATATTTCCTTCTAAATTAAAATGTAATGCATCACTTTACTAGTTACTTAAAAAAAGTAATCTGATTACCCTACCCCCAACACTGGTTATAATTGTGATTTGATGTTTTTTATTTTTTTATTTTACATAAGTGTTTGTTTACCACAAAGTATGTTTTGGTCATCCCATTAAAAATAACATTCAAACGGGATCATTTTAGAGCTTTAAAGGGCTGGAAATAGCTGTGTGAGATGCTTGAAAGTCATTGAAAAGTGCTTGAATTTCTCTCACAAAAGGTTGTACAAACCCTGAAATGAATAAGGTAATGCATTCGACTATTTCTACCACAACACCATGGTTACAGTTAGCGTTACCGCTTCTGGTTTCCTGACGTGTGTCAGCGCTGTTTATAACAGAGAATTCTGTGCAGAATTTGAATGCTTCTCACTAGATCTCGCAGCAACCTCATCATTGTGCGGCGAATTCAAACGCTTCTCACTGGATCTCGCAGCACTGTTCCATCTGTGCAGTAACAGTGTCGCGAAATCAACTTTGGCTCCCGAGTAAAGCCGTTCTGAGCTCGGACAAGTTTGTTTGCATCGCGGTGCGAGCTGATGAACGGTCCGCGCTGCGCAGCTGAAACGTAGCGCGGTTTAGTATCGCTTTCGTTTCGTTTTCCGTTTGATGTTTCTCAAATGCAACAGAAATGGCAGCGCTTATTAGTTGGACAACGCGGTGGTCGCGCCAGTGCGACCGCACACAAAAATTAGTCGCACCGGCAGAAAAAAATTTGGTCGCAGTCTGGAGCCCTGATTACAAAATATTTGTCTTTTAATTACAAAAAGTAGAACAATGCAGTTATATTTTGAAATGTACAAATACCTGCCGAGGGCGCCAACGGCCTGGTGATGTTTCATGTGATTCAATGACGTTTAAATCCATTTAATTTGCCATATGCAAAGTGAGAAACTTTTATGTTGAAATCGCGATCTACAATAAATCACATATTTAGAAATATGTTGATGTATTCTGTGTTGGCATAGGTTTATAAATGACTTAAGTTACAAATTAAGTGAGATAACGCACAGTTTTCCCAGATGAACGTTAAGCAACCCAAACTCACCGCATATGCAGAGGAAGAGTTTAGCCCCTTTCACACATACAGTCTTCACTGGTAAATTGCCGTTAAGAGATCATGTGTGAACAGGACCTTTACAAAACTACAGGTAAATTTGTTCTGCTAATCATATCGTTCTTATGGAGATGACGTGATTACTCTGAGCTGTTTACAAAGCTCCGTTAATTATATAGAAAATAGCTTTTCTATATAAATATGGCTTTAGATGGAAATCTTTGACCATTGCGCCTCGCAGCCTTTTCAGAATGTGTCACGCTCATCATTTTCCCGCAGCTAAACGCCACATGCTGGAGATCTGGCACGGTGCCGGAGAACTTTAAGCCCTGTATCATGTATAAAAGTCAGAAAGGTGCAACCTACACAAGGGTTGTGGGACATTAGAACTGTCACAAGCTTTGATATATCAGTTAAATGAGAGAAATCTCTCATTTCTAAAGATGAGAAAGTGAGTGAGAAGGAGAGTGCATAAGGAAAAAATAAAATAAATGAAAAAGAGAAACACCTCTTGGGATGAGTGATTTGTGTAGTTGATTGAAGGAAAAAAGGGCATATGACATATCTCTCTAAAGTGGCACACTTTGAATGCTTAAAACAGAAGTCAGAACTCTGTTCTGAAATTGGGATTCTGTTGCTTAGTAACACAAGCCTCAAAGGGGGCTTGACTATGAAGAGGGCACCTGTCTGCATCATTTCACAGAATGAGAAGACAGGGGGAAACATAGCGAGATATGGAGAGATGTGATACAGACAGACAGGCGAATAATAAGAGAGAGAGAGAATTGCTCATGTTTTCACTCACCAGCTCTGGGTGTACTGGATGTCTGGTTCTCCTCTACAATCTGCTGGGTTAGTTTACGCCGGGCCCAAGTCAGGTCCGAATCCTCTTTGGAATGGGCTGTAAAAACACATAACACATAGACCTTTATCTTTAGTGGGTCTTTAAGTTTTTTTTGTGAAAGCTATTGGCACAAATTTAGCTACTCAAGACAGTTTATAAGTATTAGCAGCGTAAAGACTTGTTAATGAATAAACGCACCTGTTACATGAAGAATTTGAGCGAAGCAGGTGACGGCGATGAGCCCGACAGCACATATGAAGAGCCGATAGAAGAGCCGCTGCCGCCTGGATGCCAACACCGCCTTCATCCCTCCACCACACCTCTCAAAACATGTCCATCCAAGAGAGAAGCCCTCTTCTTTCATTCACACCACCTATTTTGGCCTTTCTTTTCAACATACGGCGGACTAGCTTGCTTAAATTCAGCCATACGCCAGTCACCTCAGCATCCTATCGCTTCAATAAAGATACACTATCATCTTTCACTTAACGATATTTACCCCTTCCTTGATATTTAGTAATATCAAGATACAACGCAAATATCTTAAACTGTCACTGAGCGCGAAATTATTCAAGTGTTTTCACATATTGTCTCAGTTTCTAAGCATTCTAATCACATCCACATCCATCTCCATCTGTGTCCCTCTTTCTCGCGCTCTCTCCACCCTCCACAAGGCGCTGGACTCCGTCACTGAGGGTGTTTCCCAGCCTCACAACTGCGCCCTCATGCAGGGTTCACCATAATAACAACACCCTTATCCAGCTAGGGTAAATCAGCCCAGCGCAGTGGTTCAAGGCTAGATACACCGACCTCAAAAGTAATTAGGATACTTTCCACGAATGGGATACAAAATGGGGTGAGCAACTCTTAAAATTACTATTTTTAACCTCATGAGTAGGAGCAGTAGTACTAGTACAACTCTAATGTAGCCTAAATGATGCAATTTCTGCATTGCATTAAATCGACACTAAACAAAATTAAATAGACGTAAAAAAAAAAAAAGAACGTAATAAGTAATAGCTGAAAATAACTGAAATTATGTTTTGTAGTTATTGATTAATTTATAGGTAATTCACATTCAAGTAAAATATTTGTTTTCTGACAATAATTTTGGTAAAAGGGTTGAAAATTCATGGACTAATTCGATCTAATTGAGACTAAGATTGATTGTTGTTTGACATGTAAAGTAATAGTTCACCCAAAAAGGAAAATCCACACAACTCCAATCAATAAATTGATTTGTTTTTCACAAACACACATCTTTTTGATTCACTAGATGTTAATTGATGGACTGGAGTCGTGTGGATTATTGTGATGTTTTTAACAGCTGTTTGGATTCTGATGACACCCATTCACTGGAGAGGATCCATTGGTGAGCAAGTGATGCTAAATTTATCCAAATCTGTTCTGGTGAAAAAACAGACTCATCTATATTGAATGGCCTGAAAAAGAGTAAATTTTCAGCAAATTTTCATTTCAGGGTGATCCTTTAAGACATATAAAAATAAATATCACTGCATTAGATAGCAAACAATAAAACCAAATGGCATTTATTTTAAAGAAATATAACATATGCATTGGTACTGATTCAAAATAACAAATATAAACATAAGACTTAAGATAAACAATATTCAGTTCCATACAATAAAAAAATGTGTTTTATTACGGAGGACAAAAGAAAATGACAGCTTGGCATGTAGCACATTCACATTTGTTTGAACAGATTATTTGGCACATTAATGACTGTAAAAAAAAAAAAAGTAAAACAATTCACTCAGAAAAAAATACTCCCCCTTGCAAAAAATAGTTTGCTTCACAAAAGCAAATATTACACAATAGAACAAGTAAGAAAAAAATGCATATTAAAATATTTACTTTACATACACCAAATTAACACCAAACAAAAACTTTAAGACTGCTGATGAGCAAAAACAATTGTAAAGTGAAATCAGAAATCAGCATGTCTTGCTGGTTCTTCAGATAAAAAATAGCTGGTAAGAGCTGCTAATTGTTTGGTGTGAGCACAGCATGCAGTAGCTGCTTCAGGCTCAACAACATGCCATTCTGCATCAGCTGGGCCAATGTATTAAAATTGCAATGAGAAAATATCTATCAGTGCACACCCTACTTCGTGGGCTCTAGTGAACCTGTCACCTTGAAGTTTATGCCGTCTCCAGGCAGTGGGGAAGGTATCAAAGGACAGAGCCAGCAGATGTACCAGTACTTGCCCAAGCATTCCCTGATGTTAGCCAGCGCTCCTAGGTTGTAAGGCTGCCGTGTGGAGTACCACTCACGTGTGGTCTGTCCCCTCAGCATCACAGCCACATGAAAGAAGAGAAATGCCGCAACCAATAGAAAGCCCAGTACACAAGTGTCAGCAATGAATGCAAAGGCAAACGCTCGTGCCGTCACCTGTCCTGTTATTGGAGAAAAACAGATGTTAATTGTTATTTGTTTGACAATTTAAAAGGGGGTCATATAATACATTTAAGTATAATTAAATTTTTTCCCCAAATCATAATTTCACTACCATTTTCCACAACCTTTATGGCCCTTAGAACTTAACATTTTTTGTTGTAGGTGCACCTATTTAAAAATGCGGGGTCAGTAAGACCTTTTTCATTAAATATTACAATTTTCTATTGAAAAATTGTTAAAAATTTAATTTGTTCCTGTGATTGCAAAGCTACATTTTTAGTAGCCATAACTCCAGTCTTCAGTGTCACATGATCCTTCAGAAATCATTCTAATATGCTAATTTGCTGCTTAAAAAGATTGATTATTATTGTTGTGCTGTTTCATATTTTTGTGTAAACCATGATACTTAGGATTCTTTGATGATCAAAAAGTTTTTATTTAAAATAGAAATGTTTTGCTACATTATAAATGTCTTTACTGTTTTGATCAATTTAATGCAGGGGTGCCCAAACTCGGTCCTGGAGGGCCGGTGTCCTGCAGAGTTTAGCTCCAACCCCAATTAGACACACCTGAACAAGCTAATCAAGCTCTTAGTAGGCATGCTAGAAACTTCCCGGCAGGTGTGTTGAGGCAAGTTGGAGCTAAACTCTGCATGACACCGGCCCTCCAGGACCGAGTTTGGGCAGCCCTGATTTAATGCATCCTTGCTGAATAGAAATATTAAATAATTTCTAAATAAATAAATAACATTTTCCCAATTCCAAAGTTTATAAAGTAATTCTTGCATTTTTAAAAATCCTCATTTATGTTATTTACAATTACTCATTAAGCAGATGCGTTTATGCAAGCAACTTATAAATGAGGAATATCAAAAATGTTGGCCAAGATAATATTACCATGTTGGATTAAACGCAGTACAATTCGACAACAATACTCTGTTTAATACACTACAGATAGTATTTAGGTTTGCAAGGCATCACAATATAGCATAAATAAAATTAACAAATGAAATATATGAAGCCAACAAAGCACCAGTCCTTGAAACTCTCTCACACTGGCCTCAGACCATCCTTATTGTTGAGCCTTTGAGTATTTTGAAAGTTCTGAGTAAGAAAATCTACAGTATTATTTCCACAGCACACTCAACTCTCATTTCAAAAGATGGAGGAAAATTTCATTTTCTCAGAGCAGACTCTTGATTAGAAATCTCATACTTACCAGAGACGAGCATTATCCAGGGCACGAGCAAAAGCATGATGCTGTGAAATGTCACACCCTCCTTCAGGATGACAATGAATACCTCAGCATTCATGACTACTGCATAAAGCAGCCCTGCCCACATGAAGAGCAGACAGGTCAGGAAATACCGGTAATTGTGGAAACCGACACACTGGCCAAAAAACACACAGTGGTGATCACGCCGCAGGACACACACGTTGCAGTCATAGCAGTGTGAGCATCGTGGAGGAGTGTGTGTCTCACAGTTGTAACAATACCTGTCATAAAATATGAAAATATCAAATTAGAATGGTTTACTGAGCCTTCTTTTATTCATGAATAGCACAAAAGCTCAAACAGAGATTTAAGAGCCCAAATAAGTGATAAATAAACACTGTACAATCAAAAAAAAAACAATTACCTCCACCCTTGACCCAATGCATCCCCTCCAAGAAACACTCCTCGAATACTTGGGTTAGTTTTGACAAACAACGATGCATTCCAAGTTATATTTCCCAACATGAAGTACTGAGCGAAGAGATGCATGGCCTTCCACATGGTGGACCACTCAGTCGTCTTCTGTTCTGGCTCAAGGGGAGCCTCCACCAGCACCAGGTAACTAACCTCGGCAGTGATGGAGAACACCAGCACGGCGTTCAGAACGATAGGCAGATGACGACCGGATGACTCCACCTTACACCATAGTCTACTCATGAACCTTGCCATGTTTTCAGCTTTAAATCATCCGCTGCGTGAGACTCTACCTGCAAAGCCACTCGATTCACGTTTGCTCGAATCTGAACACAAAAACAAAAAGTTGGCCAATTGAGAGAGGCATTAAAAATCCTTCAAAAGCCTGTTTCATTACACGGCATTTATTGAAGCTGCAACAAATAGATCTGAAACTAGTAATGAATGGGACACTTCTAACTCTGTCTCTGACAAATAACAATTCAATGTTCCAGTCACATTGACGGCAGCTATCGATTAGAAACTATAAAATGCTAGGACGATTTATTTTTATTAATTCATACCTGTCATTCCATTCAGAATATCTTTCTGACAATAAATGCGGAACAAACGATACTTCTTCTTCGTCTTCGTCTTCTTATTTGGTGTTTATTGGCGGTTGGCAGCCTAACTGACTGGTGCATTACCGCCACCGACTGGAATAAAGTATGGATCAGGATTTTGCTTGTAGGACAAAATAAACCATAAAAACCAATCAAAACAAATAAATAAACTAGAAATGAAAACAAAACAAATAAATAAAAAACCAATCAAAAAGACTATATTCTTTTATATGAGTCGATTTAACCAAATTATAGTGACAAAAAATCCCAATGACATGATTCCGTACTATAATCCCGTTTTGGTTTTGGGTTTTCTTCTTCTTCTTCTTTAGATTGGTGGCTGACAACCAATTTTAAAGGTGCATTATCGCCACATACCAGACTGGAGTGTGGAGCAGTATATGACAAACAAGGGAACTAATGATATTCTTTCCATCAATCCTGTATTCTTGAGGTAAACCATGAGATGTTTGACCACATTCCAAGTACTTCCCTCTAAAAGCTTCTGAACATTAACATTTACAATGTATTTCTTTAGCATTTGAAACATTTCCCTTCTTTCCTCCTCATAGTTCCTACGTTCCAATAACACATGTAACACTGATTCCGTTACCTCACAATTTTCACACAAACCTGTTGGATGTTTGCCTATTTTGAATATTGTCTGATTCAGTCCAGTATGTCCTATTCTAAGCCGAGTGAACAAAACCTCTTCTTTTCTGTTTCTGCCCCTCATTCTGCCAACACCGACTTTTTCCTGAATATTATAAAGATGTCGACCCGTATCGTTTATATCCCAGCATTGTTGCCATTTATCCGTCATTCGAGATTTTATAATACTCTTTCCCTAACCTCGGCAGTGATGGAGAACACCAGCACGGCGTTCAGAACGATAGGCAGATGACGACCGGATGACTCCACCTTACACCATAGTCTACTCATGAACCTTGCCATGTTTTCAGCTTTAAATCATCCGCTGCGTGAGACTCTACCTGCAAAGCCACTCGATTCACGTTTGCTCGAATCTGAACACAAAAACAAAAAGTTGGCCAATTGAGAGAGGCATTAAAAATCCTTCAAAAGCCTGTTTCATTACACGGCATTTATTGAAGCTGCAACAAATAGATCTGAAACTAGTAATGAATGGGACACTTCTAACTCTGTCTCTGACAAATAACAATTCAATGTTCCAGTCACATTGACGGCAGCTATCGATTAGAAACTATAAAATGCTAGGACGATTTATTTTTATTAATTCATACCTGTCATTCCATTCAGAATATCTTTCTGACAATAAATGCGGAACAAACGATACTTCTTCTTCGTCTTCGTCTTCTTATTTGGTGTTTATTGGCGGTTGGCAGCCTAACTGACTGGTGCATTACCGCCACCGACTGGAATAAAGTATGGATCAGGATTTTGCTTGTAGGACAAAATAAACCATAAAGACCAATCAAAACAAATAAATAAACTAGAAATTAAAACAAAACAAATAAAAAAAACAATCAAAAAGACTATATTCTTTTATATGAGTCGATTTAACCAAATTATAGTGACAAAAAATCCCAATGACATGATTCCGTACTATAATCCCGTTTTGGTTTTGGGTTTTCTTCTTCTTCTTCTTTAGATTGGTGGCTGACAACCAATTTTAAAGGTGCATTATCGCCACATACCAGACTGGAGTGTGGAGCAGTATATGACAAACAAGGGAACTAATGATATTCTTTCCATCAATCCTGTATTCTTGAGGTAAACCATGAGATGTTTGACCACATTCCAAGTACTTCCCTCTAAAAGCTTCTGAACATTAACATTTACAATGTATTTCTTTAGCATTTGAAACATTTCCCTTCTTTCCTCCTCATAGTTCCTACGTTCCAATAACACATGTAACACTGATTCCGTTACCTCACAATTTTCACACAAACCTGTTGGATGTTTGCCTGTTTTGAATATTGTCTGATTCAGTCCAGTATGTCTTATTCTAAGCCGAGTGAACAAAACCTCTTCTTTTCTGTTTCTGCCCCTCATTCTGCCAACACCGACTTTTTCCTGAATATTATAAAGATGTCGACCCGTATCGTTTATATCCCAGCATTGTCTTTTATTATAGCTATATCATGTTGAGGAATATATACTGCTGTTCCTGTGTGTCCTGTCTCTGGGTCTTTTGAGCCGTCAGAGAATACCATTAACTTACCCATATATTGCTGTTTAATATAATTTTGTGCTAATAAACCTTTAGGTATCTGGATAGAATTATCCCTTATTTGTTGTTGAATATTAAAATCTATTATTGGCATCACAAATAACCATCGGGGGATATCTGAATAGCAGAAGATGAGTTCCGTCAAACCCCTCCTCAGGTCGTTGAGGCTCGTCTACATTGAAAATGTTTAGTCTTCCAATCAACTTTAAACCTTAAATAAAGCTGTATTTCAGATTACACAACCCTTCATTCTCTGCTTTTATATCTTCTATCCATCCAAAACTATTATGTCCTTCTAAATTAATCCAATAGGTTAACATAAGTTTAAGTCTCCTTATGCATAAAGGCATCTCTCCTGGAACAAACGATACCCTGCTGGCTGCTGTCTTTAACAATGAGCTGGTGCTGCAGGCTAACAACATTTGGCACTGACAGGTCTGTGTTGCACCTAAAACAGTCCCTCTAACACAAATGACACTGTACAAGAGTTCCACACGGAAATAAGGGGGTTGTACAGAAACACCTTGCAAATGAGAGAATGAATGAATGTCTTATATATTATTATACATTTCCTGTTACCTTAAAAATGTCACCGTATCTGACTGACTACTGTGCAAATATATTTTAAAAAGACAAATATTGTACAAAGGCAATCATATCAAAATCACATTTATGAATAAATAAAATACGATGTGGAAAATACACATACAATATTTACTATTTAAATAAACATGAGCTTTTAGAGTTCCACTGAGCAAATCATGCACAACATTGCATCTAGCATTTCAGTGTCCTTCTGAGAACTGGACTGCTTGACAAGCAATACAGGGGGGCTAGTTGTCACATGTTTTATTCCAGTGAGTTTTTCTTAGTTAATGTAAGCATTGTCTTCAGTTGTTTATATAAAAATAAAAAAAAGTGATGTTGGAATTTTAGTTTGAAGAACAGATTTCAGAAAATGTATTCTAACTTAAGAACAATCCTCTATATGTGACGATGGGACAGCAGTGGTTTCTGTGAGATAATCGAAGGTTGCAAAATAACGTGGAAAGCCTCGGGGTAATCTTTAAATACAGACTACCACGATTAATTACCAAAGCAAGGCATACGAGAATCTACAACACAAGTGAGTGTCGTGTGATGATCAGTTACTTTTCACTTTATTTTATTCGTTTCGTCCCAGTCCCAGATTTGTTTAAACATATGTCGGAATTATTTTCCTCAGTTATTATTTTACTTAAGTTTTCTATTTAGTATAATTTAGTTTGTGATGTCGAGGTGTTGTGGTGTACATTGCAATGATATTGTACAGTGAATTCTGATTTAATTGTGTTACTGTTCTCCCGTGCCGTTAAAACCCAGGAGAGGGCGCTATTGTCTGTCCACAAGGGTTGTAAAAAAAAATAAAATAAATAAATAAATATATATATATATATTACAGTGATAATTCACCCAGAACTGACTATTCTGTCATTATTTACTAACCCTCGTGTTGTTTGAAACCTATAGGAAAGAAACAACATTACCTATAGAAGATGTATCCTAGCCTAGGTTGTGTAGATAGAATGTTAGTCCGCCATTCATTGTTTAGTAAAAAAAAAAAAATGCAATGAAAGTGAATAGTATATATAACAACAAAGTATACCATACAGATTTGGAACAAAATGACAGTAAACTGCTCTTTTAAGACATTATGTAGTCTGAGTATGCGTGTTTACCATCACTCATGGTTATCTCGATCTCTCTAATAATACTACAGTCAGCAAAGGAGAATGCAGCTCCAGAATGATCTTCAATCACTGCAGCGAAATCATCGCCTGTAAGACACCATACATTCATTAAACATCCTAACATCGATATTTGTTCAGTTCAGAATTTGAGGATAAATTAAATGTGTTCTATGATATTGTGCTGAAATGTAACGTCAAAAAAATGTTAATTAAAAAAAAAAATATTTTGGAACGAATAGGATCAAACAAAAATTCTATAAGCACAAATAATATCCTGTAGGATAAACTGAATTTTCCAGGTTATCAGAATAATTGTATTTTGTTTTTGAGGATTCTTCTTGATTTTAGAGGATTCTGGCATTCATTTGGAGGTTTTTTTTCATCGGTGAATGAGCTCATGATGTGTTTGTTGTGATAGGAGCAGGGCAGCCTGGCTGCAGGGCCGCTGGTTGGAGATCAGTGAGCAGGAGCGCAGGGCTCAGATCAAGAACCAAAAGCTGCTGCAGGACTTTCAGAGAGCACAAGACACGCTCAATGACATGGTGGCCCGCACCGAAGCCATGAACACTATACGAGTCAGCTAACACACGAAACTTCCCTGCCTTCCATACATGCATTGTCAGAAAAAAAAAAGTGCAAAAAAAACTTTTAGAGGCTTGTCAGTTACTTGAGCAGAACTGTCAAATGAATTACATTATATCTGACATTGTAAGTCACCCTGAAATAAAAATTTATTTTTTTTGGCAATTAGCAAACAACAACAATACAATGATCTAATTAGTTCCTGAAGGACAAAATCAAAGTTCCACCCTACATTTCTTCTTATTCAAGAAGCCGTTTCACTCGGATATACATCACAGTAAGGAAGAAAAGACTATCGCAATTTCCATTTCATGCCGTCTTTAAGGTACTACGCAGCTTTTAGGGAGAAATAAGGTATACAATTTTCCCTTTAACAATACTGCCACAATGACCACATGTTGTACCTCTAAAAGTCTATTTTTTTTGCACATGGCTTTTTCTAAGTGTGCCTTGTATTGTAATGCATTGATAAGCAGATCCATCATATGACATGCATTTGTCCTCTAAAACTTCAGATTCATTATGTTTTGCCATTGCATGTACATGTTGTTGCTTAACTAAACTAACCTACACATTTTGTCTTCAAAAGGTTCAGTATGAACAGTATCTTGAAGAGAGCTTCCCACGATGGCAGCAAAGACTCAAAGACATAAGAGTTTCTGAAAAGTCAAAGGTGCTTTTTTTTAAGGCAAAGTGATGTCTTTTTAAAGGAGTCTTGACAAACATGAACAGAACTGAATGTCTGAAAGTGTTACTGAAAAGTGAATAGAAAACAGGGCACTTGTATTGATTGTAATGTCTGGTTTTTATCAGCACTTAAAGAGCTATATTCAGAAGATGGAAGAGGAAGAAGGTATCAAGTCTGAACACAGCTCTGACTTTAGAGCCCACCTTCTGTCCTCCAATTTTCCAGATGCATCTCAGCCTTCTCACACCATGCTAAACACTCATCAGAGAGTGAAAGGTAATGTGCTTAGCAATTTCTCAGTCATGCCCCATATCAACTTTGGTTGAGAAAACTGTTAACAAGGCCCTCTTTTTTTAGACATCAAGCAAAATCCTGAAAGATGCAACCATCAGCCTTACATTCCACCCACTTTGTTAACTGGCTCACAGCCTTCTATTTCCGGACTCCCCCAAAACAATATCGCAAAGGATTACAAAAACCTTCAGAACACTCAAGCCTTAAATCATCCCTTGCCACCTTACTATTCTTTACCTGGCGATTTAGTCCATCAGTCACATTCTCCAGTCCAGCAAAAGCCACCATCAATGGACCATCTGTGGGCTGGTATAAGGCAAGGGTTTATGCCTACTGCTCACTTCACTCCTCCTGCTGCTTCCTGGCCACGACTCCCTGTGCTGAACCCCATGATGTGGGGTATGATGGATGTACCAGACCCCAGTGAGGAAAGAATCCAATGCAGTGAGCCAGACAAGGAAAAGGTGACAAAAGCAAAACCAAAACACAGGAGGAAAGGGAAAGAGAGTGATCGGTCTTCTGAGCTCGACTGTAGACCAGGTTAGTTGTTTTGTGAAATTTGGTGACTTTACATTGATTTGTTTCTCTGTGGGAAAAATCTTACATGATATTAGTCATGTTAATGAAAACAAACTGTTCTTAAAAAAACTGTGTATGCTTACTTATTCTTGCAGTGCGTCTATCAATCAACCATGAAGAAAGTAGTGAAGGTAGCGCTGTGTCCTCTAAAGTCACAGTTTCTGGGATGCAAAAACGGAGAAAGAAAAAAACAGATGGGACAAAATCAAACTCTACAGAAAATAGGAACGAATCTCACGGGTATGCCACATGAACAGAATAATTTTCACAATTTTATTAGTCCATGTAGGCAAAAATGATACATTTTCTCATCTTTCTTCATATCGTTTTATAACATCTTTCCACATTTATCTGTTTTAGCTCTTCCACTGTCACAAGATGCTTCAGATAGTAACTCGGGCACAAAAATTAACAAAAAACATCAAAAGCAGTTTAATAAGTGTAACAGCAAAGAATCCGTTATCACAGAGAAGACTGTTGATGCAGTGATGCAAGATGAAGACGAACAAGAAGAAAGCAAGAGCCAAGACATTTCTCAGAGTAGTGTCAGCTCTGAAAAGAAAGATGGATCTGAAGGACTCAACATTAGACAGGAAGAAGATTCTAATGAAGGAGATGATGACAGTCATGACATCATTGCGGCAGAGGACAAAATAAGTCACAGAGAAGATAAAGATGAAGAAGAGGATGAGGAAAGCACAGATGGAGATGAGGAAGCAGGATTTGATGATGAAGCACAGGGAGGTGATGAAGAAGTGATGGGAAAGAGAGATGGGACTGAATCCAGTGATAGAGAAGAGCCAGAAAGGGAAGGAGATGTTCCAGATGACATTCCAGATATGGGAGAAACAACGGAGGAAGAGGAGAGAGACAAGAGTTTTCAAAATACAAAGGAGGCTAGAAAGACTCAAGAAACTGTAGAAGATGAGAGAGAAATTCACAAAAGGTATATATTTAAATGTATGCAAATATCACTGCTCTTGAATATTCATCACTTATTTTTAATATGAATCGTCTACTCATTGGACTAAAACTGGCTTTCTGCAAAGCCTTGAGGAGTCTGAAGGGGAAGAGGGTTACAATCAAGAAACAGAAGATGATGAAGAGGAAGATGATGAGGTTGTGGTTGAGAAAGCATGCGCCTGGTCAAGAGACCCTTTTGATGATCATACAAAATGCCCTGAGGATGATGAGGATGATATTGAAGGTCTTCTCAACCCTGTCAACTCCCAAACACAGCAGTGAGTTTAGTTATATTCTGTATTATATTGTATGTTTTGCTCATTGGGACTCTAACCTTTATGTATTCCCATAGGGAGGATGATATGAAGGAGACAGACCAATCAAATGGTATGTTTAATTTTGTAAACTTTTTTTATTTATTTATATGTATTTTCAATTTATTTATTTTTTTTTTACAAAATTGTACAATTAATCTAATTAAATCTTGTTGACTTGCAGTGAAAACCTGCAAACTATAGGATGAAATTTGGTAAATCCACTACATTATGATGCACGTCACAACACAGAAGAAAACATTTGTTGCCACCATTTTTGCTCATTCATTGAAAATGTGGCGTAGACTAAATTTGACATTATTTTGTGTATGCAAGACTGCTTATGGATGAATTTTATGTCTAAAATGTGCTCTAGAACAGAGTTCTCAACTCATTTTGCTTCAGGACCCAGATTTTACATTGGACATTAAGTGGTTACCCAACACAGTGTCAAATGTAATTCATATTTAATGCAGTCTGAGTCATATTTTTTTTTACCTTGCATGGTTCTATTCATAGTTTTTGAGAGTGAGGACTTGTCAGGCTGACTAGCTACTAACCTTCAACAAAAAATGGAATGTGCTTTATTTTTTATTTATTATCCTAATTTCCACCATTATATTAGTCCAATTTGGCTAGTGAAATGTTATTATTTGCATTATCTTTTTTTTTTTTTTATCCAGATCAACCCTCTGATTCAGAGAAGGACAATCTACCACAGAAGAGTCATCCTGCAGCCACAAATGAGATAGTGGAGTCTGATGATGGGTTTGACCACTTCTATGATTAAACCAGAAACTAGAACATAAAGATGGGAAACAGAAAAAGAACAGAACAGAAAGAGAAAACCAACAATGGATGAATACGCTGGACAGAAGCTGAGCAAGGTAAGAGAGCCACAAGGCCGAGCAATGAATAGAGGAATCACATTACAAAGGGATGAAAGAGGAAAGAAAGGTATAAATAGATGCTGGGTGTCCCTCATCTTTTTTTGTTATTTGCTGGTAGCTTATCTGACTGTCCTGAAAGAACCGCACCACTGTCACTCTGCAAACACAGGTGGATCCAGAAATGAAGAGAGAATAATAGAGGAGATGAATAGTGGATGACGTTAAACGAGAGAAGACAAGTTATAGATTTTATTCTAAGCGCATAGCTGGAATGCTATCACTTTTCTAAAACAGAAAAGTGTTTCTTTAATCTAAATCAATGTTTTATTTATGACCTATAGGGAATCGAAGTGTTTGCCCTGAGTTCTTTGGAATTAATTGAAATGTAGCAAGAGTTTGAACGCTTTCTCATTCAGATAGGGAGCGTGGCCTGAAGCGAGGGGGGTGAGTGTGGGTTCGGGGGAAGTGGGAAGGAGTACAGGCCTGTCACTGCCTCTGACTGATGGCTATTTGAACAGGCATATTTACCCGAGCCCTTGTGAAAGGAGACGGAGGGACACTAACGGAGACGTGCAGGCACAGACAGGCAATAAAAAGCTGGCCACTGTGTAAACAACATGGCCTAGGCTGTTCGGCCGCTGCCATGCCAACAGGGCAGCTTCCACTCTCCAGCCAATCACATGCCAGCTTTTTGACAAGCGGAACAAACCCCCCATTAGATGTTTTAAGCAGCCATTGATTAAATGCTTATAAAATAAAATATTATCTTCTGCGTTTGGGTCGTTGATACTTTTTGGATGTGACATGTCCTGCAGAGTGACATGCTGTACTGTTTTAAACAGCAGTTTGTAATCCTTTTAGAATTATTGTGCATGCTGATTTTTTATGACCTCTGAATTTTGTTCTTTTAAAAATGGTCACAACACAGGAGCATTTCAAATGAATTAGTCAAAGCAAAAACGTCATTAGAAATGGTGTGGAGCTTAAAAGTAATGATGACCAGTACAGATATATACACAGAATTTAATTACATTTATTAGTTTTTATTTATAAATTATACATAATTGTATGAAATTATTTCATTCAGATTTTTTAATAAATGCACACTACTGTTCTATATAAAGTTTTCTATATTTATTTATTCTATATTAATTTTTATATATTTATTTACAGTCACCCATCAATTTAATTGCAATATTATTTTGTATTTTTTAACTCATTTACTAGTAAATTAATGTGTATAATATCTCATTATTTTATCATATATAATTTTATTCATAATTTATTTTGTTTTCTTTTTCTGCCTGTTAAGAAACATTCTAGTTCTTTAAATATGCTCTTTTATATTATCTAATTATTTTATCATATCTAATTTAATTTACAATTTATTTATTTTTTCTGGCTGTCAAAAGATGTTAGTGTTATAAATATGTATTTTTATTTCCAACTCATAAATTAATATTTTTAAATTATATATTTATATAAATGTCATTACAGTCACCCATCAATTTAATGCATTCTTGCTGAATAAAATGATTAATTTCTTTCAAAAAATAAAAAAAGAGAAAAATCTTACTGACCCCAAACTTTTGAACTCTTTACATTCATATAATTTCAACAAATTACACGGATTTTGGCAGATACTATATGCCAGTCTTCTTTTAATTATAATGCAATACATGTAATGTAAATTAATATAAAGATCATGTTTTTGATACCATAAATTCAACACTTTATACATTTAAGATAAATGAGACTAATCAGAATAACTGAACTGAATTTGACAAACTTTTTCGCCAACAGTCACCTGGCAGCAGATCCCTTCCTCCTGCCCCAACCCCCCTCACAGTCTGGATCCACAGCTGGCCTACTGATGACCTGCAGACAGCATCTTCACACCCTACAAATCCACATTCACACCCTTGTAATGCTAAGAACTGAATACACACATAGCCAGACTCTTCAGATATTTAGAAAGCCACGGCACAGTCATCCATCATATCAACATACAGCAGAATCTGTCGACGGGCCGACTTCTAAAGAAGACAATAATCTGCGCAGGAACAGATCACAGCCCCGAAAGCTCATGAACTCCTCACGTCTCGCCCTCTGTCTGAATCTCGGACACACACTGAGGGGTCTGTGGCTTCTGCACAGATCGCTGTGGGTGTCCCTGTGTCCCACTGTTGAGAAGACACTGCTTTGGGGAGGTCCACCATTAAGACAGTGTCTTCCTATTGTTCTCATACACTCAAACACAATCCTGCTTTCACAGGAATCAAAGGTTAGGCTAGGAGGGGATGAAGGGGGTCGCAACCTTCCTACTGCTAGCATTCAGCCCATGAGACACCACACCAACCACACTAAACCGTCAAAATCGCAAGCCATGTCTGGACACTAACCACTAACCTCCTATATCATCAGTGAATCTGTAGTTTGATGGGTTTGTGCAGTTTTATTGCCTGCACATGTTAATGTCATAAATATGCATTTTTATTTCAATTATTATTTCATTTTCTTGTTAATTTATTTTTTATATTATCAAATTATATGATCATATATAATTAAAAAAATATATTTAAAATGTTTTCTGCCTGTTTAAAAACATCTAAGCGCCATACACATGAATTTTTATTTCAAACTCATTCACTAGTAAATTAATATACACAATCCCCCTATATTATTCATTTTATATTATCTAATTATTTCATATGTAATATTATTTATTTGTTTGTTTTTCTGCCTGTTTAGAGATTGAATATTATTATTTTTTATTTTTAAACTCATTAACTAGTAAATTAATATTTATAATATCTAATTATTTTATCATATATATGATTTTAATTGTAATTTATTTTGTTTTTCTGCCTGTTAATAGATATTTTAGTTAAATCATTTATTTTATATTATCTAATTATTTTATCACATCTAATTTTATTTATAATTTATTTTCTTTTTATAAATATGTATTATTTCCAACTTGTTTACTAATAAATGAATATGCATAATGTCCCAACATATACATACACAGTATATATATATATATATGATTTATTCATATTTTTTATTTTTTTTCAACATATTGTTTGATTTTCTATTTAGAGACATCTTAGTGCCATAAATATGTAATATATGTATATATATAATTTATTTTTCAGGGTCTGCTGTATTTAATGCAAATTGTGCATGTTTGATTTTCTATTTAGAGACATCTTAGTGCCATAAATATGTAATATATATATATATATATAATTTATTTTTCAGGGTCTGCTGTATTTAATGCAAATTGTGCATTTATTGTTTTGGTTTCTAAAGGTGGCTACAAAAGTTAGTGTGAGGCATGTCAGGACAGGAAATTATGTTTATCTTTTACAATGTGAGCAGGACAATCCCTCTGTTGAGTTGATTAAAAAATGCATAAAATAATGTGAAAGCCCGAAAGTGTGATTATAATCTTGCACCTCACACCAGACATGCAAATAACAGAACTAACACCTTTAGGAATGTTCAAAATTTTACTTGAGAGTTACAGCAAGGAATTCACATTCATATGCAACTTCAAACACCTTCAATTCAATTTAATGCACATTCACACAGAATCAAAGTATCCTTCAGCATCAGATAACAGATACTTCTCCAGCTATGAGGTGTCCATCAACTAATATATACAGCAATTATAAGCATCTAAACAGAAATCAATCCCATTTTAACAGCCCTTAATACACTACAGGAGGCTGATCAGGAGGAACTCAGAAGAGGAGCAGAACACATGCTAAACCCAGGGTAGTAAACAGAGTCTCCAGCATACGAGGTGAAGTTGGAATGGGAATTAGACTGGCAGTAAACTGGGTAGTTCACAGGAGTCTCGCAGTACTGGAAGTCCAGAAGTCGTGGGACAGAAATGTGGTGTTGGGATGTTGGTTCACAATGCAAGCTGGTTTCCATTGAGCCTTGTGGAACAGACTGCAGGCTGGGACTGGGCATTGTTGGGAACGGGACGTTCAGAGAAGGCAAGTGTGTTGAGATCTCTGGAGGCTGGGTAGGAAATAAAGTGTGTGAGGGAGTAAGGTGCTGAGGAAGATGGGAAGGAGAAGGTGCTTTGGCTGCGGGATAGGACACTGGTAATATGCCTGAATGCTGTGTTATGGTGTCAACTGGAGGAGGTACAGGCGATTTGCAAGAAGAGGTGACTGACTTGACCTCCACCTTTTTTTTCTTCCCTTCCGATTTCACAGTTTCCCCATCCGAATGTTTCGATGGTGACGTAGCCTTTTGACACTTGAAGCGCTTCTGGCGACGCATGTAGCAGCCGTTCTCGAACATGTTACCGGAGTCGGGGTGCAGGGCCCAGTACGAGCCTTTCCCTGGCGAGTCTGGCGATCTCGGTACGCGCATAAAGCAGTCATTGAACGACAGGGAATGTCGGATGGAGTTTTGCCATCGCTGTTGATTCTGTCTGTAATACGGAAAGCGCTGGCGGATCCAGTCGTAGATCTCGTTCAGAGTCAGTCTCTTGGCTGGCGACTGGTGGATTGCCATGCAGATAAGAGAGATGTAGGAATATGGTGGCTTGGCGTGGCTTAAGGTCCGTCTGTAAACTGATTGCAGTGCCGGAAACTCAGTTTCTCTGGAGTGGCTCTCAGCATATCCTTTGGGGTTTGGTGGAGGCAGTATTCCCACTGGGCTTCCGAGTCTCCCGGTGTTTCCCACAGCTGCTGAATCACACGGTGGGCCGTAACTCTGGTAGTGATGCTCTGGGGGGGAATATCCTCTGGGGCCCAACGGCAGGTTGTCTGTTCCATAGAATACCTAAAAATATGAGAAATTAACATTAGATTTGAAAAAAATAAATAAATAAATAAAAAAATAATAAAAAAATAAAATATATATATATATATATATATATACACTCTAAAAAATGCTGGGTCAAAACAACCCAAT